AGGGTGGTATTAACAAAAATGAGTGTAGAAATAGCAATTCTCTATTAATAATATATATTAATTATAAGATTATATGAATTTATATTATTATTAATTACTAATAATATATAATAAAAATTTATAATTTTTAATCAAACTTTAATAATAAATAACTTAACAACTAATAATTCAAATTAATTAAAATTTTTATAATAAATAGTATTGATATATATTTATAATATATTAAAATTTTAATAAATTTAGTTAAATAATTATTAAATAATCATCTATATATGTAATTTGATTTTTTTAAAAATTAATTACTATATATAAATAGTTATTCAATAATTATTTAATTTAATTAAGTAAAATTTTAATATATAATATATATATTAATACTATTTATAATAAAAATTTTAACCAATTTAGATTACTAGTTATTAAGATATTTATTATTAAAATTTAATTAAAAATTACAAAATTTTGTTATAATTATAATTAATATATATAGTACCCAAAAATTATTTTCTGATAAATAGTTATAAAAAAAATTATTATAATTCTAATAATACCAAAAATATTAAAATTAGTCTAATAAATAATAAAATATTAATAATTTATATTTTGTAATCAAATAAAAATTTTTATAAATTTATAAAAAAAATTAATATAATTATAAAATATAAATTATCAATATATTATAATTTACTAAACTGAGTTTAGTATTCTTATTACTATTAAAATTATGATTATTTTCTCTATAACTTTTATTAAAAATACAAATAAGATTAACCTAATATAAAAATTAAAATTTATAATATTATATATTAATTAGTTATTAAGAAAATTATAATTAAAAATTAATAAAAAATAATAAAATTTTGATAATATTTTTGTTTATTTACCATCCATCTGTAATAATACAGATATAATCAGCTTTGCTAATATATTGTTCTATCTCAATTTTTGTTTCTTTATATACTCTATTAAGAAAATTTGTTGAAAGTTTTTTTCTTTTAGGTGGATTAAATGAAGGATGTAATTTTTTAAAAAATTCAATTATTGGTTTTTGTTCAGAAAAAAATAAAGAAAGTCCACACTGAAATATAGCTTTAGCAAGACAATATTGTAGATTTGCTTGATCAGTTGTATTCATATTATCTAAAAACTAATTAAGATTTCCATTTGGTTTTTTTATAAATCTTGTTATTGATTGATTTGTTGTATTAGTATATCAAGGACCATTAAATCTAGGATGCTCAAATTCTTCACCAAAATATTCTTTTAAGATTTCAATACTTGTATTAGTACATACTTTAAAATGTTCTTCACATCGTAATACTGTACTAGCACATATAAAAGAACATCTATTACATTTTGCTCTTTCTTGTTTATATCCTTCTATAACTCCTAATTTTGTAAAATGCTCCTAAATTTTACCAACTTTTGTCATTTAAAAAGATAGAAAAGAATTATTATGGCAAGTCTTAAAAAATTTAATACACTAATAAATATATCAATAAATGCATGCATGTGTCACTATATTTATTATAAAAATATTTTCGTCTTAATATTTTTTTTTAAATAGAAATAGATTAACATTATTACTACATATAAGATAACTATATAACTAGAAATAGCATTCATATGATATCATGTGCATAAATCAATGATTTATGCAGTTTCATGTAGTTTTTTGTGCATTTTATATAAGTTTTTGTACATGAATCTGCATGAATCATTGATTTATATGCATAATATTGCATGAATGCCCATCTCTATATATGACACTATTATATGAAACAAGAAATAGAAGGCAGATTTGGGAATCTAAATTTGATATGATTATCTGAAATTAATGCTCTAATCTGGTTGACCTAAATGACCTGACACCAACCTGGTTATAATAAATTTATTAAATAGATAATTATAATTGGGTTGGTTCCAGATCATTCAGGTTAACCCAATTAGAGCATTACCTAGAATTATTAACTCATTAATCAGCAGTATGTATGCGAAACATATAGATTATTATAACATTTTTCTATTTTTTTTTATTTGTTCTAATTATCATATCCTAAAGACGATTATTATAAGCTCTAACTTTGTTTTAAAATTTAATATCAAGCTTTTATAATTCTGAGGATTCAATCATTAATAATATAACTATTGGAATGTGTGTTGACATTATATATTTAGTTAAGTTAAATCTTCATTTGTATAATTAGTACAGCAGTTGGAACTGAAATATAATTACAATTATGAAGGTATAATTATCACAGTTGGTTATAGTTAGATATTACTTATAAGCTGATTGTGGCTAGAGCCGATAGTTAATAACTGATCATCATTAACTAATTATAATTTATAATTAAGATTATATATTGTATTTTGAATTATATTCTTTATTATAATATATATATTATAAGTTAGACTTTAAAATATTTAGTTTAATAGACAAATTCTAAACTTTGTTTTCTCTTGTAACATAAAAAAAAAAACTATAAGTTAATTAGAGTACTTTGAAGAAATTAAAGCAATCAATACGTATAACTTGTAATTGCAATATTAATATAATTATTAAGTTGGAATAAGCAAAATAATTTTTATTTTATTGAAGAAACTGTACAGAAACATAAAAAATATTTATGACCAATAAAACTGATTAAAAGTAACCAATAATTTCATAATAAATTATTGATTACTTAAAAAAAAATTGTTCAATAGTCCCTTTATTAATTATGACACAAGATAATTTATTAAAATAATAAGAAACTTTTACACTTAAGTAATACAAAAGGATTAACCAAATAAAGTCTGCAGATATAACATATGCCAGATAAATGAGATATAAATCAAGATGCCATACTATTTAGAACTATATCCAATTAGAAGTACACATTATTTCACTCTCCATATAACTATACACTTCATTTCACTCTGTTCCTGGTATAGCAAAATCTTTAATTTTGATTGGCTAATGATATATAAAACAGACTATATATAAAATGATCGGCAAAAATTCTCGCGTACAGTACATACAGTACATACGTACAGTACGTATAGTACTGTATGCGACACATCACTAATAACGATAGAATGGCACAGTAAAACTCTCAAAAATATGAGAAGTTTTAAGAAAGCGGCGGTTAACTTAACCCAAAACATTGTTAAAAACCCAACTAAGTCATTTAATTACGGGATTTCTGCTTTAAAGAGTGTTAAAAAATGAAAAGATAGTGGAAACTCAGAAAACTGCAAATGAAAAAGATCAAAATTGTACCTTTTCATTCATAAATAGTACTAAGAAATGACATAAACTTAGTTTTAAAATGTACCTTTATTCTCATTACTTTACATTTTTCATTGTTTCATTGAATCTGAATTATTTTTAATAGTATAAATTAGTGTTGAAGTTTAAAGTATTATGTATAAATATGTATAGTTTATTTAGTTGATTCAATGTATTACACAGATAATAAATTATGAAATGCTTTATTTTTAAATTTTGTCGACGCATGTCATTTTCCAGTTCTCACGATTGAAAAATGAATTGTGTCAGTTCTTTAATATTGATCATATGATTTGCATAATAAAACTTATTAATCACGTATCAAATTGATATTGGAGATTATATAATATAAAAGAAGTACTGTACATAGTTCTTTTAGTGTGTGCATTTTGTCTTCGTAATACTTATGGATTTATAAATTATATTTTTTTGACTAAATACTTGAAATTCATGATAACTAATACTAGTTATGGGTAGGGATGTGTTCAGTCACGAATGGTCACAATCATTCATAGTCAATTTGCTAAATACTGAGATGTTTTTTTACTTTTGAGCTTTTAATTAAAGTTGTTCAGAATTAAATTCTGATCATCCCATATTATATATGGAAAGAACGATACCTTCTCTAGAACTCGAAATTTCAAAATATGTTACTGTCATGACCAGTTATTAGCTGTCAGTCAATACCGGTCATGGCAGTAACATATATCGAATTCCAAGTTCCAGAGAAGGTGTTATTCTTTCCCATATAATATGGAATAATCAGAATTTAATTCTGAACAACTTTAATTAAAAGCTTAAAAGTAAAAAATCATCTCAGTATTTAGCTAATTGACTATGAATGATTGTGACCGTTCATGGCCGAACCCATTCTTAGTTATGGGCAAATCGCAGTTTTTTAAATATCCAGTACAGGATTTGTAGATAACATTGTTTAAGAATGACTTAATAATAGTTATATATTTATTGTAACAAGGAATATGTAGTAAGAACTACTGTTAGACCAGAAGCATGTGATTCACAAGTGACTATGAAGATCTTCTGTTATATTTGGGATAACTGTGCATATAATGCTTATACCTATAGTTGGCAGTAGAATTACTGAATTATGGCATTATGGTATTCTACCATGTGGTAGAATAAATTCTATCACAGTACCTGATTGCCGTAAATGTTATACACCATAATTCTGTAACGCTGTAGCCATAATGTCATAACTGTAATGTTGTAACTATAATGTCATAATTATAATGCTGTATTATAATGTTGTAATTGTAATGTTGTAACCATAATGTTGTAATTATAATTAGTAACTGTAATAATGTAATTATAATATTGTAATATCACAACATAATATCTTGTCAAAAGACCTAGTCATCACACTAACTTACAATAAATTCTCAACTTAATTGATTAATAAAAATAAAAACTTAAAAAATTTATTGAAAAACCAATTTAATAAATAACAAATATATAAAAAATAAATTACAAATAAAATAAATATTGTTAAATAAATATATTTAAATTATAATATTTTTGAACTATATATTATAATATAAAAAAAACCTACAACAGGAAAAAAAATTTAAATAATAATTATAATAGAAAAAAAACAATAATAAATAATATAAAAAATCAATATATAAATATAAATTATATTTTAATTTTGAAATTCTTCAACAAGTATTGTTTCTAAATCAATATTTAAATTCTTTTCATTTTCTAATTATTATTGATTTGAAAATAAATCAGTTTTAGTTTCATTATTATTATAAAAATTCAAATCTATTAATTCTGCTATAAATAAATAATTAAGATTAGTTTCATCTTTTTTATTATCTAAATCAAAACTATTATCTTTATTTTTATCTTCATTTTCATTTTCATCTTTATTTTTATTCTCATCAAAAAGATTATCATCTTCAACTAAATTTTCTGATATTTTATTAATTATAGTTTCAAGTTCTTCTTCATTAAAATTTTCTCTAGAAAATTTTAATTCAGATTTTATATAAAATGAATTTGTGTCATTGATTAAAGATGATTAATATTTAATCTATAAAAATTTTTAAATATAAATTAATAAAATTAATAAAATTATTATTTTAAATTAA